AAATAACAAGTTTCATTATCAATTTATCAATTTTATCCCTTCATTCGAAAATTTAACGAAAATGAGGTAAAATACTTTTTTTAAAAAAAGTATTTAATTTCAAGTTCTAAAATTGTATATTATTAATACATTTATTTACTAGTCAAAAACCATCAGAGGCGCCTTCTAAAGTATTGGACCCGCCCAAAGATACTCCGTTCACACCAGCAGAACTTGCAAAGGTAATTTAACTACACATTTTCTAAATAAAAATTCAAATTTGATTTCAAAGGCAAAATAATAATATACTTTAATAGTTTGACGGTTCAGATTCATCTGCTCCAGTTTACCTTGCTGTTAAAGGCACAGTATTTGATGTTAGTGAAAAACGCAACCTTTATGGACCAAATGGTAGTTATCATGTATTTGCAGGAAAAGATGCCTCAAGGGTATGCATATTAAAATTCGATTTTTTTTTTTTTTTTTTTTTTTTTTTAAATAATAATAATAATAATAATAATCATGATGATTAAATAGGGTCTTGGTATGAGTTCATTGAATTTAGAAGACGCTGTTGCAGATTATAGTACATTAGATGAATCTCAAGTAAGTCTATAAAACAATGATAACGGTTTAATTTTTAACCTGAAAGTTAATTTAAAAATTTTTTTTTTTATTTACCAGTTAAAGGTTTTGGATGATTGGTTTAATCGTTTTAGTAAAATTTATAATATCGTAGGCAAAGTTGTTTAAGTGTATAATAAATACTCCGATCAAATGAGTGTAGTTTTATTTTTATTTTTTTATGTATAAACACCCCTAGGCCAATTCTATTTTACTATAATTCTGAAATAAATACCACCTTTACAAAAGATTTAACAATTCTTTATTTAAACAAGTAAACAAGTTCAACATATATTGTCATTAATTATCGTCAAACATGATATATTTTTACTGTCGTCGTTGCAAATATCAAATCAAGGCTTAAAAAAAAAAAAAAAGGAAAATACAATTGTAGATATAAATTCTATAATATTCAACATTTGAAGATTCTGATAATGACAATTCATTAATTAAATATTCAATCCAATATAATAACAGGTTCAATAAACAATGAACAAAAACGGTTCATTATTTTTCAATAGTGTTTGTTCTTTAATATTTAATTTCAATGTCACCTTCAGCAGGCGCATCCAAATCAACATAAGATTTTACTTGACGTGGATCAGAACTTTCACTGTAAAAAAAATATATATATCATGTGAGAAATCTTAAAAATTATCATAAAAACTTGTAATGTATTTTACTTACTTTGGTCTCGTTCGAGATAACGGTTTTCGATTATTTTTTTGTCCACGATCTTCTCTTGCATCGAAACCAATTCTTGGAATTTGATCGTGAGGTGTTCCAGCAGCAGCGCCAACGATCGGAAAATTAAATCCAATGAATGGTGGTGGTGGAGCATTGGGAATAACTGGGAACGGATTAGTTGGAATAGGAGTTACATTCGGAGGAACGTTCAATGCAGCAGTCGGATTAGGTGGTGTGGTTGGAAGAAGATGATTGGGATCAAGCACGTAATTATTGAAGAATTTTGTCTACCCAAATATATAGGATATTTAGTACATAATCGATAAGGATGTTTGATAATTAAATTAAGAACTTACATCATCCGAACTTACGTCATCTGTAGTGTTTTCAACAGCGTTATGATGTTTATAATCGATATGCTTTTTAACAAAATCGGCTCCCTTGAATAATTTGCCACAAAGTTTACATTTAAATTTACGTTGAGGGTCTACTTCAATAACATTTTCTTGATAAAACTTTTCTAAAACTCTGGAGGAAAGAGGGCGTGGAAAAAAAAATGATGTAAATAAAATTAAATAGATAATAAATTTAACTTTTTTTTTTAAAAAAAAAAAGAAAATAATTTACTTTTTGAGACTAGTTCCACCATGTTTCTCAACTTCACTTTCAAATTTCCAGGGTTCAGTTTTGTAAGCTATCTTATGATCTAAGGTCTTTAGCCATTGGGAAGCTTTATAAATATAATGAAAAAAGGTAAAATTATTACTTATCAAATAAACGCATGTGAATCAAGTAACAAATAAGTCACTTACAGTTAACTTGTTTCTCTTTGTTCTTGTTGACTGAAGTCTTTCCCTCGCTACCTGCAACACCTCTAAGGTGACGGCCAGGACACTTTCTTGCAAGTTCTTCAATAGAATCGGATTCACTACCACAGTAGTAACAAAACAGATGTGTACGACGCAAATATTCAATGTGAATATCCAATGCTCTTTTTACCTAAATTATTTGAATTTCAATTTCAAAAGTTAAAAGACTTATTCAATCAGATGAAAAAAAAAATTTTTAAATTACTTTGCTCAATTCTTCGCGTTCTTGAAGATCGTCAACATTGACAACAAATCTTGATTTAATTTCTTCGCTTCCTCTAATATCAACATCCTTATCCAACTTATCACAAAGCTTTTGAATTTGAATCAAATCTTTTTTTAACCGGTCGCTATTACAAGCAATGTCAGGAGTAATTCTGTTGCGTACAGGTCCGGTTTGATTTTTATGACGAGCAAGGTAAAAGACAAACTCATCAATCTATTGAAAATATAATGAGAATTTTAATAATGTTTCTATAAAGAAATTTAAAGATGTGCGGTATACCTTTTGTTCATTAAGCTTTTCATACGCATTGTCCATATCGGTTCCTTCTTTGAAGACAATCCAGCCCAAACGATGAAACTTTTTCTGAGGATTAGGTTCGGATAATGCGAGATATTGAAATCCTTCAATTGTCTTGCACATCTTTTTCATATATACATGAGAGCTGGTCAGTTCATAAATTAACAATCTTAATATGCGATATAAATTTTACATACTTCCTCAATTTTTTGTCTTGGAATATTTGGTGAAACGCTTTTAATGAAAAGTCGATTTGAATCTTCATCTGGATCTTTAGAATCAATTTTTATACCATCTGTTAATATTAAAAAAATTAATAAATGAAAAAAAAATTTTTTATTTAAAAAGTACAAAATAAAATAAAAATATTAAACCTTCTTGCTTGGAATCCTCCTTATTGTCTTCATATACATCATTGTTAATTCCATCAAGTAAACCATCTTTCAAGTCCGAAATAAATTTCTTATGCAAATTCTTTTTCAATTCTTTCGTTACAACGGCTCTTTCTTCTATGTATTTTGGATGGTATTTTTCGAGGAACCATTCTTCTTTTTTATGTGCTTCAAAAAAAGTTTTCAATTGCTTAAGAGCAAAAGCTTCCTTATACTCATTATATTTTTTATGCAACTCCTCATCAGAAAGGCGATTTTTTGGATTCGAATGCTGCATAAATTCAGAATAATATTTGAATGTTACCAAGAAATCCAGTTGATCAGGATCTTTTGGTGCTTCTTGCCTAAAAATAACAAATTTGTATTTAAAAGAGAAAAACCACTAATTTAATCACTTTTAATCTTACCTTGGACCTGTCCAATCCATTGGCATCATCGGTGCACCAGGAGGTAACATTTGAGGATTAGGTCCAACACCAAACCCTGTATGTTTCAACAATTTTAGAAAACTAAATAATAATAGTTGACGTATTTTATAACTGATAAAAGCTTACCCATTGGCATTACTTGAAATCCAGATGGGTGTGGGAAACGAATCTCTCCTGGCCTTCCAACATACCTGGGGGCAGGTGTATATCCGTCCTTATCATAATTAGGAATATAATGATCGCCACCATCCGATGACTGTCTTGGAGAAATCGAACGTCTTCTCTTCAAACGACGATCTAGATAACAATTTTAATATCAATTTATTAGTTGTTATATATATTCCCGTTAAAAAAAATTGAGAAATTACCGTTACCTCGATCTTCGGGAGAATTACTCCCTCTTTTGCGTATATAATTGCCACGATCCCTATCTCTTTCGCGATCGCGAGGGTCACGATCCCTTTCACGGTCTCTTTCGCGGTCACGGTCACGGACATCTCTACGATCAACACTGCTTCTACGTTCGCGTGTGAATTTATCACGACTATGATGAAGACCTTCGTCATCAGAATGATCCACTCGACGTTTAGAATTCATCTTACGTGACGGTTGTTTGTAATTAGAGCGTTTTGACTTCTAAATTCGATAAAAGGGTGGTAAGGAATTGTTATAGAACAAAAATGTATCTTTGTTCTACACAAAAAAAAAAAATAATAAAGAACGATTCCAAAGGTCAAAAAAGAGTGAAAAATTGGTGAGATTCATGCTTTGTGTGTTGCTTTTCAGTTTTTTTTTTTTTGTTTTTTTTTTTTATCTTGAAGGTAGATGGTTTGTCAAAAATCGAAGGTTTATGCATCATGTAAAGGAAGGAATGTTTATAAATAGAAAGGGGAAACGAAGAAAATAACAGAAACTAATTCGAAGTTGTAAATTAGTTTTTTAATGATATCAGTTTTTTAACTAGAAAGTTTATCAGATATAGTAAAGTTTTTCGATAAATAACGAAGCAAAATTCAACTAAAGTTTTTGAACAATAAATAGATTATTTTTGGATATGTATGTTTTTTAACAAGTACAGTTTCTTACTGAGAAATTTATGTGGGCCTTGAGTTTATTCCTTAAAAAAAAAAAAAAGTTTCAAACAAGCAAATAATGCCTTTTAATAGCTAACTGAGTTTTTTCTTAAACACTAATACTTAAAGAGGTTCTCAGCGAAGATATAAACTTTACGCCTGAGAACGAAGATGGACTCACTCACCAGATCGATGTTGAAGTCAAACAAAAGTCGACTCTAAACTTTCATGCATTTCTATTTCATTAGTTAATTTATTTAACAATTCACCATCAGATGATCAGAATTCCTAATGACATGTGACGACGTTTGAAAATGAAAAAATCCGGCTCTCGTGATTATCTCGTGATGATTGATATCTGTATAAAAACCTGCAATTTCAAAACATTTTTAAATTTCGTTCGTCTTTTTAACAAATATTAAAGTATGACAGGAGCACCTGAACAAAGAAACGTCAAGTTAACGTCTTCTGAGGGGACGGAATTTAAAGTTGAAAGAGACGTTGCAGAGAAATCAGTATTATTAAAAAATATGTTGGAAGATGTAGGTGAAAGTGATATGGGTAAGTAGTGATGCGAATTCTTAATTGTTTGTCACTTTCTCTTACCTTTAAAGGTCAAATTTTCCCTGCCAATTCTTTAAATAATTCTTTTAGAGTTCATTAATTTTTTTTTTTTTCTTTTCATTAATGTTTTTATTAATAGCAATACCTCTTCCAAATGTTACTGGACCTATTCTCCAAAAAGTAATCGAATATTGTATACATCATCGTGATGATCCAGTGCCAGCTCATGATGATGATACAAAAAAGACCGATGATATCGATGATTGGGATGCAGAATTCTGCAAAGTGGATCAAGGAACGTTATATGAATTGATTTTGGTAAATAAAATATTTTTCGTGTATTACATACGTATAGATGATATCACTTCTGCATGGCAGTAACTAGTAATATATGCCCTTTGCTTTCTGACCGATTGCTAGCAAATTGATATTTTATGAAAATGAAAACCTAATCTGATCCCGCGAAATGCTATTTGGTTTAATATGTCAAAATAACATTAAGCTTGAGCCAAGTTAATTATATAAACGTTAAAATTCATTCATTTATTTTTAAGGCTTCCAACTATCTTGATATCAAACCTCTTCTTGATCTTACCTGTAAAACTGTTGCCAATATGATTAAAGGAAAATCTCCTGAAGAAATTCGTAAGACATTTAATATTGCAAACGATTTTACCCCTGAAGAAGAAGAACAAGTCAGAAGAGAAAATGAGTGGTGTGAAGGACGATGATTAACACGGTATTATTATTCAACACTTTTTTATTTTCTTTTTCTCTTTTTTCCTTTGTTTTTTTATTCTTTCAGAATCAGGTTATGGTTTAGTTGTTATTCAAAATAACAAGTAGAATTATCTTCATAGAAACAATTCAACAAATAATTATTTTATTATTATATAAAAACATTCTTAGTTATGTTATAAATACTTGCTATGTAATATTGTAATTTGTAAACACTTTGCATAAAGTCTTGTAATAAACGAGTCGATAGTTATATTCTATTCAGTCTGATTTATATCAATTTCTCTCTTCAATTTACATCTTTTAAACATAATATTTATTATCTATTCCACCAATTTTCTTTTTTCTCTTTCTTTCCTATTAGCAAATTCAACAAGTACTTGATTTCTAATTAATAATTTGGAATGTATGTCGGATAATTTTTTCATCTCCTCATTTAATCTCTGAAGTATTTCATTAAAAACAAAATAAATAAATAAAGAATGAAATAAATAATTTAAAAAAAATTCAATTTGCAACGATTTAAAAGATACTTATGATGATGTAATAAAGGCGCGTAAGGATCCATTATTGCTTAACGTTTATTTTTCGTAAAGTCTACTTATCCAATTTCAATTTAAAATAAAATAAAAGTCATATATATATATATATATATAAAAATATAAAATACTATTCCTGTGTCTATATACTACCTTTTTTATTTTTAAAGAAAGAGTGAGTGAATAATGTTATAAATTTTTTTATAATATTTATATAATAAATAATAATACTGATTGGCTGCAATACTGTCACACACACTAACTAAATTTATATTACTAGATTTATCAAAAGCTATCCTACGCCACATCAACGAACTCGTCAGTAGGAACCTGCTCAAACCTTCTACCGCTTCTTTTTCCAAAAACCAAAGGCGCAGTAGCCAAAGCAGTAATACCGAATATTGTAAGTGTATTTTGAAATTCAAATGATTCAACTAACAAACCACTAATAACTGGTCCAACAAACATTCCAATGGAATATGCCATGTTCCATAAAGCATATACTTGACCATAAGCACCCCCACCTTTTTGCGTAACATAATGTCCAAGTAATGGTAATGACGGCGTTGTTGCTATAGAATAAGCAGCACCAAAAAATAATAATGGTAACCATACCATCCATAAGTTGTTTGGTAAAGAAATTAATGGTGTCGCGACACCTAATAATATTATACCGATACCGCACGTTTTTCTTTGTCCCAAGTAAAATGATACATATCCTACCGCTGGTGATAAAAATGTAGGTATCGCTATTGCTATAAATATTAATCCAATTTGTGATGCATCTGCATCAAATTTTCCTCGAAGATAAATTGGTAAAATTGGTTCAATTCCTAAAAATTCAAAAAGAGATTATGAAAAAAAAAAAAAAAAAAAAATAGAGAACTTTTTCTTCGATACATACCGGCTAATACACTACCAACAACAATAATAGAAAAACAAATCGTAATTATATTCCAATCTAAAATGAAATTTAAAATAGAAGGAGATTTTGTAGAAAATTCTTGATTCATATTATTTAAATCTTCGTCAATGATAGAATTTTCATCAACAGGTTGATTTGTCGTTATATCTAATCCGGATGATTTTAAATCTAAAGGTTCAACAATCATTAAGATAGTCAAGAAACCACAAAATGCCAACGATGCACAAAATACAAATGGTGCCCCATAACCCCAATATTGAAAAAGTACTCCTCCAACTAAAGGTCCAATTATTGCTCCTAACGTATTTGCTGATAAGACTGTTCCCATAACTACACCAAGTTTTGGTCCTGATCCAAACCTATCTGCTAACATAGCCAAACTTAATGTCCTATATTTGTATGTTGGAGTCAATTAATATTGAAAGAATAAAAGTGAAAATATAAAAAATAAAAGTTACCATGATGCACCACCGGCAGCACCTTGTGCGATTCGAGCGAAAACAAGTTGCCAATATTTATCAGCTATTCCAAATAATAATGAACAAATCGCAAGGCATGCCATACCAAATAACATTGGAACCTTTTTTTTTTTATTAAAAAAAAAAGAATGAATTAATTTTGGTAAATAGATCAAACCTTTATTAAAATGAACGGAATAGTGATAGTTTTACCTTTCTGGTATGGTATTTATCGCTAAACACAGCAAAAATGGGAGTAGCAGTTAACAATCCAATAGCTAACATAAAAGTTATGTTAATAAAAAACTAATCGAATTCATTAAAATTATTAAATATCCTTATAACGATCTTAATTACCATAACAACCGAATAGAAATCCAATAGATTTAGAATCACGTCCAAGTCTTTCATGGACGATAAGTGGTAAGATAGGTAAAACGATCCCGTACACAATCATATCACTAATGTGAGTACAGCAAAAAAATATATATATTTATACAATTAAAGCATACATTAAAAAACTTTACGTCTTTATTTAGTTTAGTTATACTTACGTGAAAAGAGCCATTGCCGCTACAATCATAACAGCAGTAGCTGACCTACGAAACCTACCAAACCATCCATAATTTGAATGTTCGGTGATATCAAAATTAGCTTCTTCATGACCATTCAATATATTAATTTCTGTAGGGCTAATACTGGAATTTGAGGTTGTATTGAAAACCGTGTCCGTATCTGATAATAAAGCGACATTTTCGTCTTGATATGGTGATTCCATTATAAATATACTGTAAAATATATGTAAAGAAAATATATACAGTATAGATATTTTTACATAAAAATGAAGGAATAAGGTTTTAAGGTTTAAAGTATTGAACAGGTTTTTATGGATAAAAATTTCCCGCGGATAAATCAATGTATTTCTTTATTGGGTTAGCGCAATAAACTTTTAAAAATTCATTCGCTTTGGAGATTAATAAGGTTACAGGTGATTGTCACAAATCTGTTCTTAATTTGTATCAGTTTAGCCGAAATGTTTAAATGATGCAAGTTTCTGTCATCAAATTGCGTATCTAGTCTAAATAAGTTAGTGTATTAAACATGTGAAGCTTGTATTACTTTATCGCGGAGTATTTGTTGTAATAAAAATATTAGGTATATTGTTATCCTATCTTAAAATAAAAATAAATAATCTATGATGAATAAAGATTATGAATGTTTTTTAGTAATGATTGATATAAAGATTTACTTAAGTTATTAATTAATTAATTCAGATAAAAGTTTACTAATATTTGCTGGTATCTTTATCAGTCATGTGAAATGTCCGATGAAAATCATTTTTATATTAAAATAAAATTTGTGTAACCAATATTAGGATATTTCACTTTATAGCTAACCATTGAAACTTCCATCATACCAAACATACATGAATTAGGCGAGTTGATAGAATATCACGTGCTCTATCAATTTTTATATTATATTCCATAGAAACTCGTTTAAAATGTAAACTTTTTAAGATCCTTTTAAAAGTAACAACAAATTCACAGCCTTAATAGTAGAAATATATACAACTTTATGAGAAGAAAAGATTATTCTAAGTTTATTAAAGTGGTTATTTAAACGGATTTTTATATAAAATACAAAAACTGAATTATAGAAAGTTTTAGTTCAATTCATTGTATAATGTCGCAACAAAAAAAGCCAGGTTTGTTTATTTTATTATTAGTTAATAGTATATTCTTATATTTACAACCTTAAACTAATTATATTTATTGTTTCTCTTTATTGATTTGTAATTTTTGTTCCTTTCTCTTTCGATAACTCAAATGATCACGCAATTTTTTTCGTGTTCAATATTCTGAAATTTTTGATAAAGCCTTCAAAGCCAAGCTTAGCTATTCTTCTGTTGGAGTAGCATTCACTAATGGTGTTAGTATTGCTAATTCTTCCTCTGTTGTTTGATGTTTACTTATATTAACACGTTTTGGTTGAGGTTCTTGTGTCTGATCAATAACATGTGTTGAATATTCAGCTGATACATCAGATTGATGATGTCTCTTTTGATAAGTTTCTTGTGTTTTTTCTACTTGCTTTTGTTTTTTTTCTGTTTTTTTTAAAGTTGCAACTTTACTAACTATTACTTCTTTTGCTCTTCTACCAGTTGTATCAATAGGTTCCAATTTAAGAATCTCTTGCCAAAATATTTTATTTAATCGTTGCTTTCCAATTTCATAACAATTATATAATCGATTAAACCCATCCAAATTGAATTCAGAACAATTTTGAAATAATTCATGTTGGCTTGGTAAATTAAGTTGAAAAGCTTCAACTAATTTATCAATTAATTTCCAAAGTATTTCATGCCGACTATTTATAGCTCTATCTGTTTTTGATATAACATTATCTCCAATAAATTCATTAAAGAGTAGGTCCATTCTTTCTTTTTCATTTTGTGCTGATTTAATTTGGCGTTTTAAATTATCCTTATTAATTACATTTCCTGTAACATTTTGTTTTATAAATTTCACACCAAAGGTTTCTAAGGCCTCATCAAAAGCAAAGTAATGTCCATCTCTAGTTAAATTAACTGATCCGGCATAATTCAACAAAGTTTGTATATATGGATATTTTGCAAGAATAGCCAAAAAATATACAGTAGAACATGCGTAATTCATTTTACCAATTACTGGAAATAATGGTGCAAATGCTGAAAGACATTGAATTTGTAATTGTGTATTTCTGATACGTATTCCTACTTTATGTCCTTTCCACAAACTTGCCTATTGAAAAAAATGAAACCATACTTTTAATGTTTCATTTTCAGAATTCATAATACTTATCATATTTATTTTTTTTTTTTCTATATATATTTGAATTGAACATCTAACTGCAATCTATATTAAATCAAGTACTCTACAAGTAGATCTATAATCTACAACTTGTTCAAGTTTATCTAAAAAGGTTACTCCAAGGAAACTTGCCAAATTATAGATTCCATAACTTGAAAAGATCGTAAGTAATGTATTACACATATCCTTATTAGTATGCCATTGTCCTAATAATAGTTTAATTTGAGGTTTATTAATATGATGTTTGAGAACACGTCGGAATATTGCTTCATCACAAATAACTTCAATATTCATTTCATTATTAATTTCAAAATCTTTATAGTATTGTTCACATGCTAATAATATTTCTGTATCTTTATTAGGATTTCCTCCTGCTTCTAATATAACAAGATGTGTCGGTAAACACTTAGAACCAACATTATATATATTAATGATTTTTTGATTAATCATCTCAACAGTTGCTATACGAGAAAATTCTACTTCCAAATTTTCCAAATGAATAATATCAAGTGATTCTTTTAAGATA